TTGAGAGAAACCCCAAAACAGCTGTTCTTCCTTGAGACAAATCTGAAAAAACAACCCCCAAAAACTTCTCACAAGATTCTAAATCTTGTCACACTCAACTCAATTCAACAAATCCTTAATCCTAACTATTTGGGGTTGGCTGATCTTGTCACCCTACTGCCGAAAAATCAAAACTACAACTAGACTTTCCAGAATACCTCAAGTAAAAATACTCTTGAGACAATCTCAAACCACTTAGCACACTATCGTCTTAGAATAAAATAAATAAATGAATCTTTGTCTGAGTGAGATCCTTGTAATTTAAATGCATCTTTGCCTCATCAATTCGCCCAAAGCTGAGAACTAGGGTCTTACATGTTTGGGTGTATATGTCTCTGTCAAAAAGCAAAAAATATACTTAAGGAAACATGTATGACCCTAAATGTTTACAACAGCGCCTTTATGATGTGGAGTTTTGAGCTTTTATTGCAGTCTCCTAGCCCACTGAAAAAGATATGTTTAAAACTTTCTCCAAAGGTTGAAAAAGTCTGAATAATCAACCTTTTGGTATTCTTACTTGGAATTGGATCACAAACTCATTTCCAGCTTATCTCCACCATCAACAATGGATTGAATGACATCTTCCGGAAATCCAAGCAAACCTTCACTACTAACAACTAATCTGATTAAATCTCCATAACCCTGATTTTGGTGAATTAGTGAAGATTCTCAATCGGTGACTAAATCCAACTTAGATCTTTTATCTCAAATGCCTTCCGCAGATCTTCAGATCATAGTAGTCAATGTTCTGCTGCTGACAACAGGTTGCTCCCTTTGCAAGTTATGCACTTTTCTTTAATAGAGGCAGCCACTTGAGTGATTAAATCTACTGAGCTAAAATGGAATGGTGGACATGCTGACTTTTAGCTGTCAGTCGATGTAAATATGGAGTTATAGATGGTCGACCACTGATTCTGCATGGAGACAGAACATCCAGTCTGATGAAAAATAAGGACTAAATGTTTACTCATCGACAGTTTTCATGTTTTACAAACTTTATGGGTATATTGGGTAAGTTTGTTGTAATATGGAAACTTCAATCAAACCTCAGTAGGCTTTCAGGTGCATCTTTGGGACTGAATTACTTTAATGAGGTGACCTTCTTGTTTTGCAATTACAAGAGTATTAATACCGAAATTGCTTTACCATCACAATGGATGGAATTTTTCGAATGATTGTGGCTGACTAAGTGAACATTTCTCTATCCTGGAGTGTACTTATTTATTTCTGATTTTTAGTCATTTGTTTGGTATTGAGCAGAACCAGCAGTCTGATATGAAGTTTAGGTCGGCCACTTTGTGCTTAACGTTTTATTCGTACTATAGTTCCAGTTGAGCTGGATTGAGTTACCACAGTTCAGCAAATTACCCAATCCAATCCGAACTGTCATCTTGTTTATTACTCGTATAAGAAAATTCATCATTAATTAAGCCTGGAAATTAAATTCAGATCTCATTTTATTTGGGTTATTTCTGGCCGTTACAACCCAAACTGTGCTGTCTCTATCTGTAGCAAATGCGTACTGCCACCAAAGTTTGTCAGTTGCAGAAGTACATGCTTAATGCATATGAAAAGCATTAAAGAATGAATTTTTTTGTCATATTTATTAATGTTGTCTGGATTCTTGCATCACCTTTAAGCTTGTTCAGTTTTCTTTTCCAGCAGTGAGTTCTAGCCATGCATGTGGAAGGTGCTAGAAATGTTGGCTCATGTGAAATGCTTCTCTACTTCTCCATTGCCGAAGTAAAGTTTGTAGTAGGTATGAAGCTTTCAATTTCTCTTGACACATCCAATTGTTTTTTAAAGTATGCTATCCAAATTTCATTTCAATATTAATTTGGCTAGTTTTGCATTGGCTACAGAAATCCTTTTTTTTTTTTGCAAATAAAGGAGCAGTCTCAAAATTTTGTGAAATGATTTTTCATTTGAACCTTCTGTTTGGTGGGAGGGAAGGAAATTTGATTGAATGGAAAAGGCATCTTTAGGGAGAGGAAGCTACCTTCGGTTATTTTGTTTGTTATTTAAAGGAAGGAAGGAAAGAAAGTGTTGGTGCTTACTTATTATACTCTTACATATTAAACGAAGGGTGCATTTGAAGGAAAACAACTCATTTTCCATTTTGGCCCACTTTGAGATGAAAAGAATTTTGCTGGCCTGGAGAGAAACTCCCTCCTCTCTTTCCCTCCCTTTTCTTCCTACCAAACAACGAATATTTTTACCATCACCTCCTTTCTTCCATATTTTATCCTACCCAGACTTATCAGTTGGTGATGACTTGAATTTATTCGATGAATATATACCATGTAGTCCACTTTTAAATGCTTTATAACACTGAATGGAATGATTCTTTAAACACTAGTATCTTCCCTCAAGTTACTTTCCTCTATTGTGTCCATACTTTTCATTTATAAGTGAAAAATTTGCCAGCTTCCTGACTAATGTACATTGCTGCAGGTAGCTGTACTTAATTGGGGGTATATTTGGAGCCAAGATAATAAAAATTCTACAAGGTCGTGTTTCAAGTCACTTAGTGCCTTCCCATTTCCTTTTTGTTCATTTGTAATAACAAAGCATATCGAACCTTTGTAATAGTTCGTGTTTCTCATTATTTTGAGTTACTGTACTATTCTTTCTGAACCTTGTAATGTGTACGAATTTAGCATTCATATATTACATTTTTTCATTTTTTTTTTCAGTTAAAAACATTTCATTGGGGGAATATTGGCTCATGTAATAAAAGGAGGAGCTTGTTTATTTCTTCGGCCTTCATGTTTAAAGGGCAAAGTGATAATATTGGAGGCGGCAAATGGGTGGGTTGGATTGGGCTAAAATAAATTTATTTTATTTTTTCCTTACGTATTAAAGGAGTTATAATGGGTTGGGTTAAACTCATTAACCCATAAAATAATTTAAATTCTTAATAGACATATATTAGTATACTGAAAAATACACACATTAATTCATTAAAATACACACTAATACACAAAAAATACACACATTAACACAAAAAAATAAAATGCTTATTTAATAAAAAAATTAAAATATACAAGTATAATGAGTCGGGTCAGCTGGGGGTCATGGGTCAGTCATTGGTCATGGGTTGACCTGTGGGTCATGGATCGACCCCCAACCATGGGGTCACAGGTCGGGTTGTCATGGTGGGGTTGTGTATTAGTGTGTTTTTGATGTATTAGGATTTATGTGTATTTTTTGGTGTATTAGTGTGTGTATGTATTTTTTGATATATTAGTATATTTATTTGATTTTATTACTTGTGTTATTTAAAAGAAAGTGAAATATTTAATCTAATGGGTACTAATTTGTAATTCATCTTAACCCCACTTAATTAAAATGAATCGTATTATATAACTCATTTAGAACTCGTATTAATTAATTAATATAAATACTCAACTCATTTATTTATGAGTGAATTGGGCGGGTTAATGGATAAAACGTTAAGATTGTCACCTCCGGGTGGAATGGTCACCCAACAACTAGTCAATAGGTTTACATTAAACTCACCATAAATCTCATAAAATTTGGAGAATTGCATANACATTAAAATACACACTAATACACAAAAAATACACACATTAACACAAAAAAATAAAATGTATATTTAATAAAAAAATTAAAATATACAAGTATAATGAGTCGGGTCAGTTGGGGGTCATGGGTCAGTCATTGGTCATGGGTTGACCTGTGGGTCATGGATCGACCCCCAACCATGGGGTCACAGGTCGGGTTGTCATGGTGGGGTTGTGTATTAGTGTGTTTTTGATGTATTAGGATTTATGTGTATTTTTTGGTGTATTAGTGTGTGTATGTATTTTTTGATATATTAGTATATTTATTTGATTTTATTACTTGTGTTATTTAAAAGAAAGTGAAATATTTAATCTAATGGGTACTAATTTGTAATTCATCTTAACCCCACTTAATTAAAATGAATCGTATTATATAACTCATTTAGAACTCGTATTAATTAATTAATATAAATACTCAACTCATTTATTTATGAGTGAATTGGGCGGGTTAATGGATAAAACGTTAAGATTGTCACCTCCGGGTGGAATGGTCACCCAACAACTAGTCAATAGGTTTACATTAAACTCACCATAAATCTCATAAAATTTGGAGAATTGCATAATATATGAATTAGAAAAATACAACATATTTTCGTTTTAAATATCATCAGTTTAACAAAAAAAAAAAAAAAAAAAGCAACCAAGGAAGTGATCAAATGGATATCGAGACGAAAGAATGGAAATGGAAGATCCAACAAAGTCCATTCCATTTATAACTCACTATACTACTTGCTACATTCTATAGCAATGGTGTATGTGGCCCACTTTGAATACCACACATCCAATCCAATATGAGAGAGCAAATTGGAGCTTTTTCTCAAACCCAAGCCCCTGCGTAACTTAATTCCATAATATAGTTACTTTTAAATTGAATTTTCAAATCCAGTCTTTTTTGAAAAATATCATTTGAAATGATCCATTCTGCTATAAAAACGTCGTTTAGAACGATGATTTGAACATGAATTTTTTTTTCGTTAAAACGTCGTTACGAATAACGTTTTTAAAATCGTCATTTAAAATGACGTTTTATAACAATAATTTTTAACGGAACCTAACAAGCATTTAAAAAAATAAAGAGATTAAAAATGTCATTTATAATGTCGATTTGAAAAAAATAAAGAGATTAAAAATGTCTTTTATAATGTTGATTTGAACGTTAAGTCAGACCACTTGAATTTCGCAGAACACGGGTCAAAATTTTTTAAACATAACCGCTCAGCTCTCTCCTCCTCCTCCAACGCTCTCCTCCTCCTCACCCACTCTCCAACGAGGAAGACCATCGGAGAACCATCCACCAGTGACCACAGCCTCCACCAACTTTAAGCCTCCACCAGCGTGCACAGGCTCCACCACCGACTGAGTAGTGAGCACATTCTACATTCTCCATTCTCCAATCTCCATTTTTTGCCCAATGGGTTTGCTCTGTGGTAGGTCTGCAACAAACGCATCCTTTTGGTCACCAAGCAAAGATGATGAAGGATACATGCTTGTGCACATTCCAAGGCGTCTTCCTGTCTCCTTAGCAATTGCCAGTTGGTCACCTGAAATTGATCGACCAAGATCACAATCGTGAAGCATGTAACACAAGCAATTTCAAAGTGACAGATTTATCTAAAATGATCAGTTAAATTTGGGGCAGAAAGAGAGAAAGAAGAAGTAAAGTTGAAACCACGCTGTGTCTTCGATAACATGTTTTTGAAAAAAATACATATTGAATGTGGAGAAGTCAGATGGTGGGGACACTGAATAATCTTTAAGCACACTAAACAGGCAAAATGCAGGAACCCCAGGAGAAGCCAAGGGAGGTAAATCAAAGATAAGTGTATGCATGTCCAGCCAATCAAGAAAGATAAGAATGTCCTGGAAATATTAGACAGCAATAGACAAGAGCAACTTAAAATGTGTCCATTTTCTTCACAATTAATCGATCACCCTTTTCAAACTAAAACATTTCATTTTTTGTTTGAAGAAATTAGGAATATAATGCAACAGAGATGTTTCTCTTTCTCGTTTTTTTTTTATTTTTTTTATTTTTTATTTGTATAAGTTCAATCTAACTTCTAACGGAGCACATTGCAGAGATGTATATACAAAATCAGGCTTTAACTTCGTGAAGCAAGATGCATTTGAAAGACAGCAATTAATCATTTCTGAGGCAAACCTGTGATCATTTTCACACTAACTCCACGATCTAGGGCTCTTTGGATAGTCTCAGCACTGTCATGGCGAGGCGGATCAAACAGAGGGAGAATGCCAACAAATTCCCAGGGTCCACCAGGACTCTCTTTGGTACATGTGTCAAATATGGCATGATGTTGGGCTAATTATCTACCTCTGGTCTAGCAAAGGATGTAGGAGTATTTTCCTAGTTTACTAGACGTTCATTAGCATACATTCTTCATCTGCCTCTTAATTACCTGACCATACCAGCACTAGAGAAGTACCCAATTTCTCCAAGAACAGATGCCTAAAAACTTCATTGTACGGCAAGGTAAAAGAAATGGGGATTCGGGCACCTTGATTGTGGTTGTGTTGGGGATTAGATAATTTTGCAATTAGCCGTTCACAGCTAACATGCATACCACAATCAATGTGTTATATTCTTATAGCAAAGTGGTCAAAATTCAAAGTTACACATATTTCTATCTGTACCTGCTCTGGCGCACCTTGCTTACTCTGTGCATGTTGCCTGCTCCATCTACATATGTAAGCGCTGTCCGCTTAGCAGTAAGATTGAATGGAAGGAAGTGAACCTCTCTAATTCCAGCTCGTGCCTCATAAAACATAACACACAATCAATATAAGGCAATCTTGTTTGCTTAATGATTATTTGTGAACTTTACAGCTTTTAGGAAAAAGAATTTGATTTTCATGAGCTGCTGAAGTTGTTTAAATAGAACCAAGGATATGTGGTTATCAACAGATGTAAACATATTAAGCCTGAAGAGGTTTATACGATTTTATTACCAATTCATGCTCTTCTCAAGGTTAGGCACTGACAACATCAACAATTCAGCCAAAAACCTAAATTCAGTTTTTACCCTATTCTTGAGTTCTTGTGAAGCAGATGAACAATGAAGACAAGCCGTGAAAACGTCCTGATTATTAAGAACCAATACCTCTGTAGGATCAGCCAGCATTGAAACAATTGCAGCATCAATAGCGTCCTGATTCTCCAACCTTGAGGCTCTTGCAACCATCAGCAGAACTGCATCTTTGTCAACACCATGTGCAAATACCTGTAGCAACGTTGTTACATAAAGAATTTGATGGTGGATAAGCTTTGATATTGTAACTAGTTTTTGACATGTCCATTGCCATGAAGCATAGACTTGATCGTTTGCATTAAATGGACCATGCAAAAATTAAACATTTCGATTTTGATTATGCTGAGATTCAAAATTTGTAAGATCCGTTATCTGTTACTTATTTCAGATACATAACTTTTTGATTATTTTGATTTAAGTGATGATGCGTCTGACACTTTTATTCCATCAAATTTATGTGTACTGAACAACCATCTACGTTGTTTTCTACATCAATCAAAATATTGACAGACTGTACTTCTTACAGTTTCATGCAATAAATTTGTTTTATTTTAATGTATAAATATTTTTTTTCCATATTTTAAAGTTCAACACACTTTTGTAGGTCAACTATAACTGTTCGATGAACTTATAACATAAAATTGGAATTCATAATTTTTTAACATATACAAAAAAAAATAAAAAAAATGTTTGTAAAAAAAGATTGATTATGGGAAATAAAGTTTTAGGCCCGATTGAGATTGGGGAAAAACTCCTTTAGATTGAGATGCTTTTATGACGTGAGATTATAATATTGAGATTTTTAACATATACAAAACATACTTTTTGATAAAGAAGTGTGCTTTCAAAATACACTTTTAAGTTTTTTTTTGTTAAATATAAATATGAAATTAAATTATGCTTTTATAAATTTTATTTTCGATTATAAAATAAATTCAAAATTTTTATGAAAAGGGAATTAAATTCTAAAATTTATTTAATTTTTTTTTTGTCTGGTGAATCATCATGTGAGACATAAGGTATAGTTATTTAGCTTTTATGAAATTTATTATAAGTTGGTGGTTGGAGACTTTTGGCTAAGAAAACGTCAATATAAAAGGCTAAGGGGTAGAAAACGCTAAGGGGTAGAAAACGTGATTAAACAAAAAGGATAAAATGTCATTGTAAATGACGTCTTTAAAAATGTCATTTATAATGACGTTTTAACCCCTTTATTTTTTTAAATTTTTGTTAGGCTCCGTTAAAAATTCTTGTTACAAAACGTCATATTAAATGATGACTTTAAAAATGTCATTCGTAATGACGTTGTAGGGGAAAAAAATTCATGTTTAAATTGTTATTCCAAATAACGTTTTTAGGGGTGAAGGCGTCATTTCAAATGACGTTTTTAAAAAAGGGTTAATTATAAATTGTACCCTGAAAGATCGTTAAAATTTTAATTTGTACCCTCAAAAATAAAAAATTTTATTTTGTACCCTCAAAGATAGAAATTTGTACCAATTTACATCCTTAAAGATCAAAAATCTCAATTTGCACACTCAAAGATAGAAATTTGTATCAATGTGTACCCTCAAAGATCAAAAATTTTAATTTGTACCCTCAAAGATAGAAATTTGTATCAATATGCACCTAAAACTAAATTGATAAATTATACCTAGATCCCCTTATACTTGTCACTTAATCATTTGGACCCCTTCACATTTAGAATATTATTTCTACATCTCATGACATTTGTGCGCGTGTAACACGTAACCCCTTTCGTTGATATCTGTTAATATAACCGTTAAAAAATATGATTTTATCTTAATAAAAAAATTATAATTTCATATTACCTTTTATTTTATGGGTCCAATATCTTCTAAAGTTCAAAATCAAAGTTACTATTTAAATGTCTAATAGAATAAAGAGTTGCACATTGAGTGATATATTGCATTGGATATAAAAATATTATATAAATATTTACATTTTATTGTACATTCAAATAGTAAACTTGATTTTGAACTTTAGAGTATATCGGACCCACAAAATAAATGGTAATATAAAATTATAATTTTTTATTAGGATAAAATCATATTTTTTAATGGTTATATTAACAGATATCAATAAAAAGGGGTTACGTGTTATACGTGCACAAACGTCATGAGATGTAGGAGTAATATTCTTGTAACGCCCCAAAATCGGGAGTCCTTAATTTAATAAAATTTAGGCAGAGTTTTCTTTGTACGGGGAGCTCTACCCAAAACATAACATGTGCAATTATACTACATTGACCACACCGGGTCCATTTACCCATCAAATAATANCTTCTAAAGTTCAAAATCAAGGTTACTATTTAAATGTCTTATAGAATAAAGAGTTGCACATTGAGTGATATATTGCATTGGATATAAAAATATTATATAAATATTTACATTTTATTGTACATTCAAATAGTAAACTTGATTTTGAACTTTAGAGTATATCGGACCCACAAAATAAAGGGTAATATAAAATTATAATTTTTTATTAGGATAAAATCATATTTTTTAATGGTTATATTAACAGATATCAATAAAAAGGGGTTACGTGTTATACGTNTTAGGATAAAATCATATTTTTTAATGGTTATACTAACAGATATCAATAAAAAGGGGTTACGTGTTATACGTACACAAACGTCATGAGATGTAGAAGTAATATTCTTGTAACGCCCCAAAATCGGAAGTCCTTAATTTAATAAAATTTAGGCAGAGTTTTCTTTGTACGGGGAGCTCTACCCAAAACATAACTTGTGCAATTATACTACATTAACCACACCGGGTCCATTTACCCATCAAATAATAAAATTTCATTCACCATATGTAATATCCACAATATCATCCCAAAAGAATAGGTCAAGCTATGACAATTACATTCCAAAAGAATTACACTCAAACTTAGCAGCGGAACAAATAAAATATTAGGTTGTACANAATCGCATGAATAAATAAATAGAGAATATCCTAGCCCACACACATACAATTTCTCACAAGGATATCAACTTCGGGAAGGGCACCTACCGATGCATTGTCCCATGCCAATGTACCAGCAATAACGAATCTGACCCATGGATAGTATACTAATCCTTTGACACGGCACCTGTGAGCTAATAGTGGCTTGGTCCTCGCAAGGCACCAACCCTACTACGAGTGGTAGAAAAAGTTCAAACTCACACGGAGTAAGAACCACACGCATCTACCCACTCTACGATACCCGGTCAATGGCCATCCATTGTCATCCAAACACCTCCATGAGATACAATCACCAACAATTTCTCAAATACACTTAATTCCATAAATCCCCAATTTTTCACATCCAAATCCACATTTATTTCACAATGGAATAATTTAAGAAAAATTAACAAGAGATCATCTTAAATACCATTGTGTTGTTCAATACGAAACACTAAAGTTTTAAAATAAAGAATAAAGGAAAAATCAAGAAAAAAACCCAGTTCTCTTGAAATTTAGGGTTTTGAATATGAGAAAAGAACTTTGATGGTTACTCAACCATCCCATTGTTTAAAACATGCTAACATTTGAAAAAATATTAAGAATCAATGATTTCATAGCATATTAATATGATGTAGAGTCAAAGAAAACATATATGTATAACCCTAGTATCAATGTAAGAGAATGGAAGAAAACCCCTACTTGAATCAAAATTTCAAGTAAGAACCCAAACTCTAGTGACCTCCTTATTCCATTTTCTTCCTTCCTTAATCTTCCTCTAAGGTTCCAAGAGGTGTGGGGTGAGAGTGGAGTGAAAAGAATGAGAGTAAATGGGATGAAAATGGGTTTTTAAATACAACAACCCCGCTTTTTACTATTCACATGCTGATTTGATCCTCTCCAAAATTACGGTTTTATCACTAAGAATCTCCAATTTGATCCATATGACTATCCTAAGGTTTTTCAACGTTCCGGATTCATTTTTAATGTTATTTTAACCTAAAAACATTTATTTTTATGAGTTATCTCAAAATTATAATAAATTTATACTTGAAACACGAAAATTACTATTTTATTCCTCCGAACCGCTATATGTGCTAAAAGGTTATTCCAAGTTTTTCGAATCTCCTAGGTTCAATGATAATATTATTTTGACCTAAAAAAATTTATATTTTTACTTAGTTACTCTTATCAACCTTAAACACCGCCAAAAATTAAATTTCACATTTAATTTGCCTCCCTAGTATTTATTCATACTATTGAAATCTATAGGGTTCATGCATACCTCATCACTTATATTAGCATTTCAAAAATAATTACTTGCTATATAAAGATAAGAGTGTGGGGGTTTACAATCCACCCCCCTTAAAGAAAGTTTCGTTCTCGAAACTTACCTTAAGTAGAGAACAGATGAGGGTACTTCTCTCGCATCTCCAACTCTGGTTCCCAAGTAGCTTCCTCCACTCCATGGTGTTGC